TATTTGTTCCCTTTGCATGCCATTAAACCCGTGTGACGCCGCACATCTGCGCCTCAGCATGCCTTTCTGCAGACCAGTGAGTCATTAGCGGAGATAAGATGAGTCCCAGATGTTCAAGAAACGTGGTAGCACTCCATGGAGTGCAACTGGGACAAATAAAAGCCAAAGTTTCAACGTTTATTGGGCGCCACAAGGTAAGGAAGTTCATTTAGTTACGCGTAGGTGGTGACACCTTTTAATGTAAGTGGTTTTCAGAACCCACCTCTTGAAGTTCTTTTCTGCGGTGAGGAGTTTCAACCAAGGAAGACTGAACCTCCACTATGAAGTAAGGTAACTTCCCTTTCTCCTTTTTTTCCTCTCTTTGTGCTCGTGTGAATGCTGGTACAAACGCTGTACTTCCTGAGTTTTATGTTTAGCTGAAAAAAATGTGATTTTCCTCAGAAATTTCAGAGCTTTGTCATCAGTTCTGGAGTTACGGTTTTGAATCAGTAATTTTGAGATCATAACCATAGAATCATAGGATGGCCTGGGTTGCAAAGGAGCACAGTGCTCATCCAGGTCCAACCCCCTGCCGTGTGCAGGTCACCAACCAGCAGCCCAGGCTGCCCAGAGCCACATCCAGCCTGGCCTTGAATGCCTGCAGGGATGGGGCATCCACAGCCTCCTTGGGCAACCTGTGCCAGTGCCTCACCACCCTCTGGGGGAAAAACTTCCTCCTCATATCCAACCTCAACCTCCCCTGTCTCAGTTTAAAACCATTCCCCCTTGTCCTTTCACTATCCACCCTCATAAACAGTCATTCTCCCTCCTGTTTATATGCTTTTTTCAAATGTTGGAAGGCCAATTTTGAGCACTTTGTGTTTGTATTGATGCACTGTGAAATTAAAAAATGCAAGATCTAGTTAATCCAGCTGGCATAGTAAAATCTGGATGTTGGTTTCACTCAAAACAGAGATTCTCTTCCTTATTTCATGTCCAGATTGGAACGTGCTTTATTGGTTGGATGGATGGTGCCAGGTCTGTCCACGAACACTGCTTTCCCATGCTTCCAGCCAATCTGTTTGCCATGGACCCACTCTTCCCATCTTCAGTATTAAGCATGACCCCAGCAAAGCATCCCACAGTGTTATAGATTTGGTCTTAACACCTCTTTAATGGTTTTATCTTCTGGTCACCAGGGCAAAGTGAAACCCTTGCTGCAAGGTGGAGATGCACCAGGTGACAACTCGGAGCACGTTATCCTCCACTCTGTGCAGCAAGGCTCACTCTTAAATGGGTGAAACATTGCTGAAATGTTGATTGTTTGGCATGAGAAAAAGCTCAGAGGAAAGGGGACTTTTGCCCTGGAATGCTCCCTGAGAAATTTAGCACTGACAGGATGGTTTAATGATATTCCCATGAAAAAGAATTGATGTTTGCTGAAAATGAAGATATGCTCTTATTCCGTTCTCAACTTTGGCCTCCAGAGAACTAATTTACCAAGACATACTTTTTTCTTGTATTTAAGACCACTGGAGCACACGCTTTACATTACACATGCTGATCTGTGTTAATGATGGCTCTGGTAAAATTTTCATAGATGAATTTATTTTTCCTAGTGATCCAATTTTCTGTTCAGATTCTATTAGCATGCTTAACGCGAATAATAGCAGATTCCTGTTTGTTTCGGGACACAGCAGGAGCTCTGGAAGAGTGGATTTACTCATTCTCTGAGTTACCTTCAGAAGGGAGAGCTACTGGATGTAAGCAGAAGCACGATAGATGGCTCCAACACAGTGCTATATTTTAGCCTAACAACTGAAAGGTTAATTGTCTTTAAAATTGTTTGCACATGGGCAGAGCCGCAAGTCCACATGCTTATTTTACTTCCCTTTCAAGCTGAAGTGTGTGGAGAATCAAAATGTCCAAATTGTTTATTTCGGGTTCATTGCTGTAAATGGCTTGTTACTACCACAAGTTGTCTTTCTGGAGCAAACAGTCCTGGAGGACCTTTAATTTACACCGCGGAGAGCAGGAAAGCAAGATTAGTGGCTACTTTTCTGCCAGCGATACAGAACCACCTGGAACTGCTTGGAAAGGCTGTTTGTTAAAACAACACCAATGAAAAACACTCCTGTGTGCCCAGGTGTGGGATGGCAGATATCTGCACCCACCACTACAAGAGGTGCTGTTGAACACAGCCTTCACCCCAAGGCTTGGGAAGCATCGCCATTGATGTTTAAAATGAATAACCGTTTTAGGCCTGGGAAAAAGAGTTCTATTATCTGTATGTTTTTCTGACCCCTAAATGGGATACCAATTTCCCTGACTTGTGTAAGAGCATTAAATATGCTTTATCTTCATTTTTCTGCTTTTATTTGGGAACTCTTATTTGCTTAGAATTACTACAAGAGGTTTCTGCAAGCCTCAGACTGTTAACAGTGTTGTGCTGTAAGAACAAGTCAAAGTTCCCTGAATTTTGCTTCATAAATACAGAGAATACTGAAATAGTCTTGAATTTGCTTGATGGAGAACTAAAACAGAAAAGAATTTGGGTGAATTACTGTGATGCTTAGTTAGTGGCTTGTTGAAGAAACATGTCAGGAAGTGACGCTGGAGGCCCCTTTGTGGCAGATGCTCAGGGTCTACATAAGGGATGGGTGGCCACATGGATGTGGAGATTGGGATGAGTTGGTGCCACGTCTCTGAGCTGGCTGCTCACAGAGAAGACAACAGCCTGAGGAACCCTGCCTCTCCTTTGGGTGTTCACCATGGCAGTGTCACAGAGGAGAGTGCTGTTGACGCGAAACGAGGGAGAAATCCACTTTCTGGTGTTTTCACCAGGAGGAGGCAGGGAATGCATTGCAACTTTGGGACAGCTGCTTCTCCCCTGGATTTGTTTGTTATGGAAGTAAGCAGTGTTGAAAAAGGGAAGTACTTTCTGTCCATTTCTTAATTTTGATATATATTTCCTTAACTAGCAACTCTTAGAAATGCGGAAAGTGCCGAAAGTTCCAAAAAGGACTCTTTAATTTCAATAGCTTTTGTATCATGGAAAAAGCATTTCGGTTGAGCTCTGTGTGGCCAACTCCAGTCCTGCCCGTGGTGGAGCTGATTTAGGAGCTGGTGCTGTCATGTGCTGAGTGCTCGGCGTGTTCCCCTACATGCTTCTCTCTGTTCTCCCGCATGCATTTGGTACCACCTCATATCAGATGCAGCCTGGCTCATCCACGCTCAGTTTCAGGATTGAATCATGACCCTACAAATATTAAATCACCACGTTTGGTAAGAGCAACATGAAACGCCGGGCCTCGTCTCCTTCTTGATTGTTTGCAGATGTTGGGGTTGTACTGAAGAAGCAGACTCATCCTAAAAAATGGTCAACATCTGTGCAAGAGCTTTAAAACGTGATGTATATCAGGTAATTAGCACCACATGCCTCCCCCTTCGCGTTCATATTAATTGATTTATTTATATTTGCTCTCTCTTTAAGATAGCATAAGAATTAGGCTGTTTAGCATCTGAAGCTTTATGCTTTTCCGCCCGTGTAATGCGCTCTGGCTTCTGCCAGTTGTGGGCTTTCTCTGTTGGTGTTGTTTCACCTTTTGTTCTGAGCAGTTGTTCCCCTCACAAAAACGGCTCCGCTGTCTGTGCATTTTGCCTGTTTGCCGTAATGAAGACAACTGGATTCGTAATAGTCCATTAAATGGTCTATTAAATAATGTAGTTGCTGGAGGGACCCTGGTAACACTGTACGGAGCAGCAGGGTAATAACTCTGTGATTCAGAGGCCGCATGGATTTCCTTTCTGTTACAGCTGTTTGAAAGGTTTTCTTGAGCGTTTTCATAAATCTTTCAGCTGGCCCACAGCCAGGGTGGATCCACTCATTTAGCTGGAACCTGAGTTTCTTGGCAAGTTCCTGACCGCTGGAAGCGTTAGCCCCTTATCAGGCCTGATGGCTGCTGCTGAGGTGCAGAAGTACGCTCCTTGTTCAGGACCAGCCACCTGGCTGAAGGTAAAGCCCCATTGCAGGAGATGCACATCTGGGTTAACTTCAGTGAACAAAGGTGTGTATTTGCTCTCCTGAATGTGGTCACAGGCCTGCTGGTTTTGCTCTGGGGTCATCTGCGAGCAGCCCTGTAGTGCAGTCTCAGCCAATGAGAGTTTTCCATGGTTAAGGTGCCTTACAAACCTACTGAGAGACCATCTCAGTGATTAGGAGGTTTTATCCTTGAATACAGAAGCAGTGATCTGCTTTACGTGGCTGTGATGCACAGAGTACTAAGTACTGCCAAGTACTAAGATGCCTAAGTACTTGCTCGGGACATAGATCGAAGCAGAGCCTAAAAAGTATTGGTTTTGGTTCATACTCCAATGCTTTACGATCAAGATTTAATTTCCCTTTCAGAACTCCATCCCAAAGGATGCAGATGGTCTTTTCGTGGTGGTGGTGGTGTAGGTGTTTCTCTGAACTGAGGACTCACTCACTGCCTTGCCATCTGCAGAGGGGCGTCATTAGATGCTGTACTTCAAATGTGGATTCTACTACAATTCTTTGAAACCCTTTTTTTTTAAGTTTCCCCACAAAGAGATTCATTTTCCTTTTTCCTTCTTCTGTTCTTCAGTTTTTCTCCCCCAACCACTGGAATTTCGAAATTTACATTCCAATTTATGCATTATTACCCCGACCCTTTATCACGATATAACATCTCATGATGCAGTTTCAGTGCAATGAATGCTCTTAGGGACAAGTGTTGGTCTTCATTAGAAGACGGGCCATCACTCTGACGTGATCTATTCTGAGTGGCTTTAAATCACAGCTCTCCTTCTCTTTCCTGTTCTGCTGAAGTAACTATTGTATGTTAAAAGCACTTGAGATGAAACGACAGCAATGTTAGAGGCAACTTTGGGTAAAATGCTTCTGTTGGGAAGAGTTTTTGTTGATGTGACTGTGGTTCATATCACTAACACTTGACCAGTTATTCTACTCTCTGCCCTTTGATCTCAAACAGGAGGAACAAGGGAGTCATTTCTGCTTTGGTCAGTGTAAAGCTCGGTGGGATGCTGCCTTTCTGTCTTACAGACTTTCTGCTCAGAAGCCCAGTATATTTTCAGGGTAAGAACTTGTTCCTGTGCTGTTAGCCTCTCTTTTCTCTCTCTTTGGGGAAGGGGGATGATGGGGTGTTTGACTTTTTTGGCCTTTCCCACCTTTGGAAGCGTCTGACAGCATGATTTCCTTTTGTCATCGGGGTTGATTCTCTGCTGCTGTATTTCAGAGAGGAGTAGGTCCCAGAAGAGATGTGATATTTCTCTTCTCGATGTACACTGCCAATTTTGTGCTATTAGTTCTTGCCTCTGTGGTATCCCTCACCCAGGAAGAATGGTGCTGCTGGCTGGAGGAGCTGACACTCCATGGATGGCCATAATCTGCTCTTTACATTTACTGATGGGACTTTGTCTTCTGTTTGTCATTTTGCTCACGAGCTGCGTCAGAGCATCTTTTCAAGTACTGCATTTCTTTTCTCTCCTTTTTCTTGCCCTAAGAAATTCCTGAGTGTTTCTCCAAGAGTTCCATCTACTAAGATTTTGTTCCTGTTTATGCTTTATGGTGCTGTTTCAACACTTAACTTGCTTTAGTACTTTCACTTTGGCACCTCAGTATGTTCCTTTTAGTCTGCAGTATCCATTCTTCTGTGTGCTCAACAATTCTGCTGAACTTAAATCCAAACTGCTGCTGACTCTGGGGACCAGAAATATTCAAAGGCCTCACAGTTCCAGCCTGTCCTGGGAGAGCACTCGTTTGCTAACGGAGTTGTATCTTAAGATAGAAACTCAAAAATGAAAACCTTTGAGTGGTATTTTCAGAATTTCAGGCCAAAGTTTTTTTTCTTGCTAACCACATATGAATCCTTCTGCATAGTCTGCGCCTTTTTAGTGATGTGGTTCACACTGGACATTGGCTGTAAGCCTGATGTTGTCCTTCTGGTGGCAATTTAATGGTTACTCGTTTTAGGCATGGTGCTCACAAAAATCCAGCGCAGAGAATGAAGTTCCACGTTGGAGCCAGGAAATGATTTTATTCTGTGGTTATCATACGGTGGGATTTAATCCCGAAAAAATGTTGGCTTTGCTTAAATTGGTTACCTGTGATTCAATTTGCAGTATTGTTTCAGTTGGCAACCGCGTTCCCCCGTGTTATCCACCACATGTAGTCATCGTGTGGAGCTGGATGGCAGGTGCTCCAGTTACCTCCTGAACCTCCTGGCTATCTGTGAATGAGTGATTTGGCATCGCTCAGTGCAGCTGGTGCAGCTCTCAGGAAGGGTGGCTTTCCAAGGGCTGCTTCAAGATGGTTGCGATAAATCCCAAAGTTGGAGAGGTTTGGTTTGTTTCCCATAGAAAAGCTATAAAATAGCAGACCGCTCATATGCTGTAAGAGGAATTTCTTTACCCTGCTGAGAGGTGGCAGATGGGAAAACAAGAATCTTACGTTTCATTGATACCCAGCATGTTGTACATGTTAATGTTCTGCTTCCGATCTTCAACAAATCTCTTAAGTTTAGAGAGCAAACAGCGCTACATTAAAACCTGTAGCAAGAATCTGTGCCAGTGGTTGTTGCTTCCCATTCTTCTGTATGTGTGCAGACATTACCCAGGCTCAGTGGAGCATTCTTGCTGCCATTTTTGGTGCCAGTTGGACACGAGTGAAGTGTTGGACTTCCAGTTTTGTGCCTCTGAGGCGTTCTGTAGGCAGGCACTGGTGTGGCTTTGAGCTGTTGGTGACCGAACTCCTTCAACGTGGTGTCTGAAGGTGTGGAGTGCTTGTCCAGAGACCTTTTGGGAGGCAGTGGTTGTTATGTGCCCTACCCTGACAGGGGCAGAAGCTGCTGTTTGTTCCTGGTGGGTTTTCTCCTCTGGACAAGGGCTGTGGACAAGCTGAACGTCATGGACATCCCTGTTGCTTTTGCTGACATTCACAACCCGTGTTCTCTGATGTAACAGATAATTCTTGTATCAGTTAAGGAGATGAGATCCTTATTTCCCTGACTATCTCAAACAGATATGAAAGTAACATTTTGCTTTCTCTGATTTATGACTATGTGCTGCCATTGCCAGTAGATTATCTGGACTGATAATGGATTTTTACTTGGCGTCGTGGAGACTTGTTACAGATGTGTGTTTCTTCCTTTTATCTTCATCCAGAAATTTGTTCATCCTGGAAGATGTGGGTTGGGAAGGGAAGAGAACAGGCTTACGCTGCCATTTGTGTGAGGCACCAGAGCTGTTTCAGCTTTCCTGGGGGTTGCCACTTGTTTAGGGTTTGCTTCCATCCTCCAGTCCCTGGGAGGGAGCTTTTATTGACACTGCAGATCACGAAATTGGATCACTTATTCCCTTACCAGGTTGCCTTACCCGCTCTTCTGGCATTTAGCAGAGCTGTACACACGCCTGAAAGCGCTGTTAGCTTGTTTTTAGCTCACGTTTGGCACCGAGGGCTGGCTGTAGGCATGCTGCACTTTGTTTTATTTATTTCTCCCTGCCAGTCTCTCATCCCAGCAGGTTTTCTGCTGCCCCAAAGCCATCTCAGCAGGTTCACCGGGGGACCCCTGCCGGGGCTCAGCGCTCCCCATCCCCACCCCGCAGCTGGGAATAGGCACTGGTTTGGTAAAGACAACGACTCATGCTAAATAAAAGAGAAGAAAATCAGGTGGAGGTGATACGAGTCTCGCTGCTGAACCCAGCTGCTCCAAGCACTCGGAGTTCATCGGTGTCAGTGTGTGGCAGTCTTGGGGCTGTCGCGACATCGCGACAGGGCGGTTGATGGCAGCGCGGCGGCGTGCAGCGCGTCCCCGCGACCACCCGGTGGCAGCACCGCCACACGCCGCGGCTCCTTTCCTTGTTTTTTTTCCTTTTTTATTTTTTTTTCCTTTTTCGTTTTTTCCCCCTCTTTCCCCCCTCATTTTTCTTTCTTTTTTCTTCCTTTAATTTTCTTTTCTTCTTTTTTTTTTTTCTTTTCTCCCTGTGATATTGCCTGATGCTTTTGTTTAAATCCCCTGTTAAGACACACGCAGTAAATAATCCTTAACACTTCAGGCTGATGGGAGAATGCTGCAGCAAGTGCAAACCAGACCTAAGAAATTCTCAGCATGTGGTCAGAAATATCCATTTTCTGAGCGGGTGGAGCTGGGCTTTGGAGTTTTGACTTGAGCCGGCGCAATGAAATTAAGACGTGGAAGAGGATAATACAACGTACCATCATTTGGAAGTAATTTAATCACAAAAACTAAAAATTTGGAAGCAAACAGATATTTTACTTAATAGAAACCATCTGCACCGTACAGTAGGCAAATTGTACAAAAATGAATAAAACTGTCTCTGGAGGCAAATGACTCAGGCACCAGCTTATATAATGAAGATGTATATGTGCCTTTTAGCATTTGCATTGTCTATTAGACTAGGTAAATCGCAGCGCTGGTGTAAGCGAAACAGTTACAAATTTTATTACCATCATATGACTGATGACAAACGTGGTGTGAGAAGCAACGGAGGTGAGGCAGGGCTCCTTCCAGCCCCCAAACAGCGCTGCGCTGTGGATGGGGTGCTGCTTTTTGGGTCAACTGCTGGCCTGGGCTCCAGGTGGGTTCATTTGTGCTGCTGGGACGGTGCCTCGTGTGCTGCTGCTGCCCATGGAGGATTTCCAGCTGGCACTGCTGAGCAGATGCTCCCCAACCCGCTCCTCCTCGCAGCACAACGCGTTTGTCTGACGCAGGGATGCTTCTCTCCTTCCCTGCTGGCACATCTCTCTTCCCCTCTTGTTGAAGGACGGGTTTCAACACTTCTCAAAATATTTATTCATTGGCGCTCAGCAGCTTGCCTAAATGATGGCAAATAATATGAATTATTCAATTTCGGGGCTGCGATAGCCCGCGTCTGCACTGCTTTTAAAATGAAGTTTGTAGGAGCCACGTTCGGCTGCTGAGATTTAACACTCGAAGGAAACGCGCTCCGCGCTGAAAGCTTTGTACTGTTTCTTCCGAAGCCACGACAATATCTGTTTAGAAAAGCAAAGTGCAGCAATGTTCTGACACAACATTTCTTACAACAAAGGAAAATCCCACCCTCCCGGTGACATTTGTGCTCGTACTTTCTCAGCTGGCAGTCCGAAGGATGGGTGGATGAGGGAAATCTGTGCGCTGCAAAGGCAGATTTATTCTCGTTTCAGGAAGAGTAAGGAGGTGAAGGCAGAATTGGTTTCCACTTGCATATTAAGCGTATTTGGCAACGAGAACATTTTGCATTAACAAATATGTAAAGTAAAAATACGTCCCAAAAGATTAAGGCTTCTGTGGATTTAAAACAAATTAGATGCAGTTTTCCACCCCAATATTCTCCATTTCCATTCTGCTCGGCGTCGTTGCAGCTCAGAGCAGGGAGGTGGGGAGCCGAGATTTCGGCCCCCAGGGATGCCCAGCTCTGAGGCTGGGTGCTGGGCTGAGCTGCTCCCAGTGCTGCGGGGGGTTGGATGTGGCACCACGGAGGCGTTGGGCCCCAGGAAAGTTTGGGTTCTGAGAGCAGAGGGGTGAGCAGGGAGGAGGCAGCACTCACCAAGTGACAGGGAGGAGAGGCCGGTGGGCACCTGCTGACCCATAGGAAGCATTTTGGGCAAAGTGCTGCATGCTTTCCTAAATGTATTTTGCTTTTTTTCCCCTAAGGTGAGGCACAGAAGGTGGGATCGTGCCCAGGAGGTGGGCAGCAGGTGGACTGCTGTCTACATGGCGCTGCTTCTGTCTGCCCCCAAGACAAGGAGTTGTCTTTTTAGCAGCATCCCCCCCACACACACACTGTGTTTGAATTTGGAATTTCTCTGAGAAAAAAGGAAATACTTGGAATCCAGGGGCTGCTCTTGGCCAGAACGCAGTGGTTTTGTGGTAAGTCAACTACGGGGCCTGGCTGCTTAATAGCAGATCTGTAAGGACAGTGTGTTCTCCTGCCCCTCGGGGCAGCCTGAGGTACCAGAGTGACTTCAGTGGGACTGGATTCAACTCTCCCTGGCACAAAAACACAGATATTTATCCCAGACCTACTGAATAGAGAAGGAATTGGACCATTAAGTTCAGAGATGGATCAGTCCCATGCACGTCAATATCTTGTTAACAGTATTTCATTAATTAATAGCGGTCCCTCTGACAAAAGGAAAGGACTTTTGTTGCCTTTGACTGTTCAAACCTGAAGGAGAAAAGGTCCTTCTGCTTCTTTCGTATTTTTGTGCATGCATGGGCTGCTTTCACTAAAGAATGGAAATAACAAAGATTTCCTGCAGACGTATGGAATTTAAAGCCTCACAGATATCAGAAGTATAATTATTCGTATGTAGCGAAACCAAAGGCACTAATAGCAGTTTATCCTTTTATTTTCTAATCGGAACATGGAACTCTGTGGTGCAAAAGTAGTCCGAAAGCACAAAGGAAATGGCCTCAGAATGAAGGCGTTTATTTTCTTCTTGCTTCCCTGTAACGTGGTTTATTTCGTTTCACGTGATTTGTGCCAGGACAAAGTGTGTTCTATAAACAAAAAAGGGAAAAGGTTAAACTGGTAATGAAGTGTAATGACGATAAAAAATAATGATGGCCACATAGGAAAAAAAAAAAACAGTAAAAAGGAGTGAGGAGCATTACAAGTGGAGGAAGGGCGAGTCAGTGGGACCCCAAAACAGGGCTCGTTGGGGAATTAAGGACTGTGTTGTCTGATGGGGGAGGAGCGGGCTTGGGATCAGTTCTTAGTCCCTTAGGCCCAGCAGCTCCCTCAGAAATTGCTGCATTGGTTCTCCCAAATTGCTTTTTGCATTTTGGCAGATTGTGAGTACGCTCTGCTCCGATCCCTTCTGCTCCTTGGGGAGGTTTTGCTGGCACTCACATCCCTTCCTCCACAAGCTGCACGGCCTGGGGATGCCGGGAGGATCCTGGCAAGGGGTTTTGTCACACGTGGGATGACTGATGCTGGGGACCTGGGCTCAGCCTGGCAGTTCCAGGAGGGCTCTCACTGCTGCTCCCACAAACGGGGCTGGGGGTGAGCGCCCGGCCCTGCCAGCCTCCTATCCACACGATGGCACTCTTCAGCTTTCAAACAATTGCATTTAACTGCATTTAATGCGAAAGCTGGTGATTTTTTTTTTTTTTCCCCTGCCAAAAGCAAAGAAGGAGCTGGACGGGGGGACGCGGCACGCAACGCGGAGTCCCCTCGGAAGGGACACGTCCTGTGCAGTCCCCAGAGCCCCTCATCCCGGCCTCACAGCTTCACATGGGGACACAGCCCTGGCATGGCTGAGAGGCGACAGGAACGTGAGTTTGGATGCACTCAAAGAACTGGTAAAAACAAAAACACAAACACCCTTCTGTGTGGCAAAAGGGCCACAAAAGCAGCAGCCCCAGATCTGGCTGCTTTTTGGATGCTTATAGGGGAAAAAGGTCACACTGCCTGTGTTGCAGCTGGTTCTGCACTGCCTAAGCTGTACAAAAGTCAGAGCGTGGGCTGCTTTCTTGCACAGCTTTAGCTATGAAGTGTCTTTTAAAAACAAGAATCCATTGCTATCAATCTGGCAACTTCTCGGAGTGCTAAATTTGCTCCATATTAAAGTGTGTGTGGGAGGGAAGGGAGGTGGAGGGACGGTGGGGGCAGATCCTGTTCTGTGCTGTGCAGTTACCCTGATGGCTATATCATCCTGTCTGGGAGGTATGTGTGTGCCTGTCTGAAAAATCAGCACATCACTGCACACCAGCACAGCCGTGCAAGCAATTTCTGTTCCTTTCCCCCTGCCTGCCAGGTGGGTTTGGGACTGTGGTCAGGGGCTGGAAGGATTTTCTGGGTCTGCAGCCTCACGGTGCTTGCTCAGCCAGTAGCTTGCCCTGGGTTTGTGTACAGGTCACCGACCTGCTGCTTTTTCCTGGCAGGGAAAGCATGAGATCTTGCTCCTTTGTTCCATTCTTCACCTGAATGTATCATCTACCAACTGGATGCAGTACTCCAAACTTCTCCAGTAGGTCTTAACTGCCAGCACAGTGCCCCTGTTCCTGCTGGGTTAGGCAACCCTGTTTTCAGAGGATGTGGCTTTCACTTTGCCATTTCTCTGATGGAGAAACCCACACTCAGAGGATGGTGAGGCCCTGGCACTTCTCCCAGAGCCGTGCTACCCCGTCCATAGAGGTGCCCACAGCCATGGATGGGCTGTGGCCAGCCTGAGCTGGGGGGCCAGCCAGAAAGTGGCAGAGAATGGGGCTGGGTGGGGCTTTGGGTCCCTTCCAACCCAACCATTCAATGTTTCTGTTGTTCTATGTCTCTGTGGTTCTCTGATTCCATGAAATCAGTACCAGACAGGGCAGCAGCTGGACCAAGGGTGAAGCTGAGTGAGCTCTAACCACAGACCTTGTGTCCCCTGTCCCCACATCAACCTTGTGCTCAGATTTCATCTCACCACACTGTGTCCAACCCTTTATTAAGACCTACATAGCAATGGGTCACTGCTTCGCCAAATTAAGGGGCTGTGTAGCTGAATGGGAGACAATGGCCTCTTTTGTGGAGATGTGGCACTGAGGGATGTGGTCAGTGGACACAGTGGGAATGGGTTGGGGTTGGACCTGGGGATCTCAGAGGTCTTTTTCAATCTTAAGGTTTCTGCGACTCTGTGAATTTGGATCTTCAAACATCTGTGATTCTGTGAATAATTTGGATCTTCAAATGTCAAAGAGGGCCTGAATTTTGCATGGATGTGGGAGAGTTGTGCGTGTGTTGCCTGCAACCCTGCGTGCCTTGGGTGGCTTAATTCTTAAATTTGTCCATCTAAAGCCAATCAGTTTTTGCAGAAATTTATCCTCGTGCCAAATCAGCGTCTCATTTTTTAGAAGGATCACCCCCAACCTTTTCAAAATACTCTCTGGCATGCCAGAGGTTAAAAATAATTTGCTAGTTGAGTCCTCGGTGCTTAATTAGAAGAGATTATTTGTACAAAACGGGAAAGAACCATTCGGGCAGAGTTCACTCACATGGCATGCTCTGCCTCATTTTTACTAAAGAAATCCTTTTGTTATGATTTTTAAGCATGAGCAGGTCATGTGTTATCCCAAGCTTTTATTATTATCACTATTTTTTATGTGTTACAGTGCATTTAATAGAAGTATGATGGGGAGACCTGCTCTGCTGTGCTGCTGCGGGCAGACGTGATGTGCAAATAGTGGGTTAAGTCCATTCTTCATGTAAAGAAGAATGGGCATTTTTTTTGCCACCTTGTTATATTTCCTCGTTACCTGGAGTAGGGAACGGTGCTGCTTGGCAAACCAGCAGCAGATACGCTTTAACTCATTGCAAAAAAACAATCGACGCTGTGCACAAGAAGTTAGTGCTGTATCAATACCAAGTTATTTACAGTGCTTTTATTTCCATATTAGTGAGGAAGGGGAATGCGGCAGGGACTCTTCACTGCAATTATGAGATATCTCTTGAGGTCACCTGCGTTTTCAGTTACGCGTATTGCAAAGGGAGCATAATTTATTCCAGTTAATTTTGGATTTGAAGAGCAAAGAGGCACAGGCTATTAATCCAGTGAATGTAAGAGGTTTGGCATGGGTGTTTGTCTTTGCAGTGCTTTCCTCTGCTCTGAAAGTCTCGGTTGAAGGGGGCAGTTCATCAGTTGGTTTGGGGGGCAGAACTCATCTTTCCTTTAGAAAACGCAGAATGCTCAATGAATGGCAAAAGTGCTTTTAAAAGGGGCTCGTGGAACACTTTGAAAATATTAATTAGTGTGTTGAAGCATTCTGCATAGCATATCATAGTAAAACTGCTCCAGGGGGTTGCTTGGAATGAATTATTAATATGAATCCCTCTCTCCCTTATGCTTCACACCCTGATTTTATGGGACTTGGCGTGGGTTGGGGTGTCTATTAGATTCACTTATTGCCTGTTTAGTGGGAGTACTTTGTAGACTGCATCCAAAGGTCACTATTTTTTCTTTTCTTTTCTTTTTTTTTAACAGAATCCCAAATTTCAATTGGCACGAAGCTGACATGGCCCCACATATGAAAGACAAGCTGTTGAAAAGAAGCAAGCTCACCAGAAAGCCGTGATTAAATTTTGCAGAAGGTATGCAGTAGAGAAGGGGAACGTATGCAGGCCCCTCAATCCCCTATGGCACAGGGATGGAGCTCACTGGGCGTCTCACCACCAGCTTGAGCAGAGCCAGGGCTATAGCACAGCACATGCAAATCTCACCCATGTTCTTGTCCTGATGAGTCCAAGCAGTGCTTTTTCACCACAGCTGTGTTGTAACACATTCACGCTTCTTTCACACGCATTTAGACGCCTTGTACCACAAGTGTCGGAGTCATTAAATTCACAGAGTACAGTTGCTTTTCCCTTCTTGGCTTGCAATATCTCAAAGTTGAACCTGTTAACCTAACGCTGAAGGAGAAAAACTGTGCTTAAGAAAAAAATTGTTTTTCAGCTCTGGAGGTCTGTTTTGATGATGTCCCTGGTGTACAAATATAAATAAATCCATAAAGTAATTTGACTTTTAATTCTTACTTGGATTATGGAAATATTTGTATTGCATGGCTGCCAGGCTGAATTACAAAGGGTTTCGAAGGTCCAGTTTTCATTCTTATAAGCAGAAGAAATATAAAAATGATGGTTTACAAAAACGTGGCACTTATCAGATGGCGATTTGCTCAGGACTGAGCAATATGCCAAAGCCCAGTTTGCCATCATGGCAGAACAAGGCTGAGCTTTGGGCCTGGTGAGCTGTGGTTGAGCATTTGGAGCTCCCACTGTCCCCAGTACGGGCAGCAAATAAACTGTTGAGACAGCTGAGAAGGAGGGAAATGTCAAGTTGGGCTTTTTTTTCCCATAATATCTGCAAAGAAGAGGGACACGAATAAGGAAAGAGTTTATTTCTGTATCTGAAAATAGATGCTTAAAAATAGATCTGTGTGTCATATTTGAAAGTCTAAGAAGATGGTGGGTTTAGGTTCTCTCCGAAGGAAGAAAAAGGCCAGAAGAAAGGGAGGTTTCCTCACAAACAGCAAAGACATTCCTGAAGCAGAAAGGGTTAAGTTTATTCATAGTATTAAATACTTTGGTTTCAGTCATCACGTTAAGGAGGAAATCACGCCAAGGAGTTTCTTAATATAAGCATTTTTTTTTAAGAAAGGAAGAAAAAGGTGAAAGACAGCGCATGGTATCGGAGTCTAACAGACAGCATAAATCTGCATCATCTGCAGAAGTTTGTCATGGAAGGATTTACTCTGTGCTGTACTGTCCAACAGTTCTGCCAACGCAGGCTCTGAGCTGCAAGCTCGTGTAGATGACAGATTGTGGCAATTATGGCAGAAACTCATCATTAGCATCAGCCGTCTCATGCTTTTAAGAAAATGAACAGCTCTTTCATTTGTTTGAAAATAGCAATCTTGAGAATGCGCTCCGCTTTAGGAGTTAAACTGGTGATGGATTTTTTCTGAGGAAAGGATCATCTTACAGTTTCTCAAGTTGTGAGTGTTACTGGCTCGATGTAATGTGTCTTTTTTTCTTATTATTCCTCTTCTTTTCTTCTTTATTTTTGCCTCTTCCAGAGGAGAAAGGTTGCCAACTGATTAATATTTTAAACATGTAGACAACCTGCAGACCTTGCTCCCAGACTCGGATTTCTCCCTTATCCCTCCCGAAAAAATGGTTTCACTGCTAGAATTTTATGCTCCCAGGTGAAACACGATTATTTATTCACTTTATTTCCCCAAAATGAAGCACAAATAATAATAGGCAGAGTTCAGCAAACAGTTAGAACAATATCGCATGTAATCTCTGCGGAGTTTGGTTAGGATTTCTGCTTCTCACTTAAAATTTTGTGGGTCAGCCTTATGATGTGGGCAATGAATGGGAAAATACACTGCATTTCAGGAACTGAATTTTATATGTCCTTAAAGAAGAGGCTGGCAACGCTTGGAGCAGCAAAGTGTGAGATGCCAATTTAAGAGGCCCCGCAGAGCAAGCCGTCATGCGCTGTTGTAGGCTCCTCCGGATGATTTATTGGGATTTATTTATATTTATTATTCAGATGAGGATTTAAATATTCCACGTTCTAATTTGAAAGCGTAAGTTGAGAAGCTGAAAGTTGGCTGTGAGATAAGGAAGATGAAGGAGCTGAACGAGGACCTCTTGGAGGCCCCTCGGTCCCAGCCAAGCCCCAGGTCCCAGTGGCAGTGGTGTGGGCAGGCTCTGCTGTGGGGCAGGCCTGGGTTGCCTCCCATGCAGCCTTCCTGCATGTCAAGAGCCCGCTTTAACACCTACTTACTCAACGCAAATCTGGAGCACTCCATCTGCACCAGAATTGCACCGGCAAAACTGGGACCGTGAAGGTTTAGTGATAAAACATCTCACTCTGAAAAAGCTGCTCTATGTTCCTGCTCTCCGTTGGGCCCCATTCTTCTCCCATCGTGTATTTTTTATAGTGGGGCTCCTTTTGCTTCATGCCTACACGACCGTTGCAAAAACCTTTGGACCGCTTTAAATAAGAGTCAAAACCAACTCTAAATTTTGACCATTCAGTGTTACTTTCTTCCTCTCTCTCATCCCACATGCCTTGTGAAATATGCAGGACAGACTCTGATCTTGCATCTGTGACACAGGAAATAACACAGAACATGGCAGACATGGCAGATAGGGGCGTCCATTCGTGTCAAAGGCAGCAGAAAATTGAAAATGTGGGTTATTCCGAGTCCTGCCAGGGTGCAAGCAGCACCAGATACACTGCATGTGTGCCTTCGGGCTGGTTTATCCTCTACTGGTGAATGCCAGGTGTGTGTGATTCAGAAAAGCAAGCTGAAAGACTAGAAGGAGTTCGGTCTACAAAAACACGTTTGTGCAAAACTAGGAGCTTGTTGCTTGTTGAGAATTTCTCCATGGCTTTTGGCTTCTTGTGGCCTTTCCTTCTTGCTCCCCTGTGAGACTGAGTTTTCACCTATCAGCTTCAGTGAGATCAGGAATGTTTTAGAGGCCTTCAACCTGGGCCTACCTGAAACGTTCAGCTGTAATCATGCTAGATAAGTGCTCGTTTTACCAGTAAAATCTGCATCTTAAATATTTGCAGAGATGCACGCATCTGTTGTAAAACTGCAGATGTGTGTCTCTGCAGATATATATACTTCAGTGTGATATATTATGTTTTATAATTAAAATTTTATTGAATTTTAATATAAAAACAAATTCATACATTAAAAATTAAGTAGAGAACAAACATGTGTGGTGTCAGGAGGATACAAGCTGCGGTACGGTAGGACAACAACATCTGACCCATAAAAAACACCCTGCTTTAGTTATAAAATACCTTTGTGGCTAGGAGATTAGTGTGATATATTATTGAGATTCCAATATTTGGAGAAATAATACCGTTTTGTTACTTCCATTTGTGAGTGAAGAAGCAACGCCATTAAGCGTTCAAAAGCAAATGGGTTCAGACATAGCAGGCATGGTCCCCCCACAAGAAAAAGTGCTGTTATTTATGAGGCACAGTTAGTCCTGGTGAGAAGGCTAAGTACTTGTTTTTCATAGTACCACAGAGTCATTCATGTTGGAAAAGCTCTCTGAGACCCCCCAACCCCAGCTCACCTACACCGTGCCCACTGCCCACATACCTCAGTGCCACTTGGTCATGATTCTGCAGGGATGGGGAGCCTCCCAGCTCCTGAGCAGCCTGATGCAGTGTTTGATACAACCCCGTCCTTGGGATGCTGGAGTCGTGTGAGCAGGTGAGTTTTTGAATCTGGGAATAACGAAGTTGTGGCTTGCGATGCCACGAGGGGCTCTCAAGAATGTCAAGGTAGGTGCTGGTGTTGCAGAAAGCAATTTAATTCACTTTAGGACAGGTGACAAGTGTACCCTGAAGTGCCCAGAATTCTTTTCTATTGTGATTTATTGTTCTGGGGACAAATCTATGGTATGGAGAAATGAACGACCCACCTCTTGGAGACAAGAGTGAGAACCAGACGACTCCTACCCACCAAGTCCAAGTGATTGGCAGCACATTGCGTTCCCTTTTTTGAAAGGTGTGTAGCCCACTGATAAAAGTGTATAGGACGCATGCAAATACAGGAGAGAAAATAGCACTGAGGTATTTGAATGCTGTTACATAAAGGGGTGATGTGCCTTTGCCTTGAACGCTGTCTTCATTTCCATTTCAAAAATGATACAGCTGAAATATAAAAGTTCATAGACAGTTGATGGAAATGATTAGACACAGAGCGAGGTTCGTGCATGATGGGAGGCTGTCAGGATCGGAAGATGAGTTATGTGGCTAACAAGAATGAAAACGGTGAAGAGATATCAAATAATGAGTAGCACTCTGGAAATTGTTGAGGATGGCCTTTTTTCTCCCTTTTTGCCAATGCAAGAACACAGGAACGGCCAAAGGAAGTGACAGGGACCATGTCTCAGGCTGATAAAAGGAGAAAGATGCTTTAGGATGGATGTGAGATGCATTGCTACAAGATTTCCAGAAGTTTGGGGGTCAGGGGTTTAAAAGTGAGCCATTAGAGACTTGGCTAGCAATGCTTGCCTTTGATAAGCTAGGAGTGTACAATCTCATCGTCCGTGAGCTGCCAGGACTGAGGGAGGTGTTTCCCAGGGTCTTTGCAGGATCACCTGGATCTTCCCCAATGCTATTTCTGTCTGTCTGACTTGGACCTGCCCCACACCACCTTCCCTCCCATCTCCTGCTCTGTCTTCAAAGGAGAAAACAGGTCCATTTCCGCTTGAAAGCTATTTGACTTTCATTTATTTCACTTTTGAATCTGTTCCACGATCCTCTCAGCGTCATTATTTTCCCTTCTCATTTGAGAAAGTTCTGCGAATAAATAAACAGCAATATTTGGGGTCCTCACAGATCAGCAGAGACGAGCGTGCCTTTACTGCAGAACTGAGGGCAAGAGCCTTTCTGAAGATCACATGTGAGTACCATTGCTCACACAGATGCCTCTAAGTATAATGTGCACTGCAGGTGATGGGGCCTTCAACTTTTAACACACTTCTCTGCTTTAACTATTCAGGGCTCACACTTAAAAAGTGATCCACAGCTGCTGCAAATTGATTTATCT